AAGAATCTTATCTGAAGGTAAAGTCATATTCGATGTGTATCCAGGACCAGCCCCAGATACTTCAAACGCAGTGTCAGAGACAAATTCTGCATGTTCGGGATCCAGTTGAACTACGGGTCACTAAAGCAATATCTTTTAGGGCCCTCAAGGACTGTTCTTGCAGAGGATTGGCCCATATAGTTTTGAACCGAAATGGCCAAGAGTGCATGAGAGCAAGGACTAGGGTGAAAACCTTTGTTAAACACCAAAGTTGCAGTGGACTGGTCAAATGAAAGAGCTACAAACGAGTAATTGGTGGTGAGTAATGTCAGGGTGCAATGCACACCATAGATGCCGCTAGCGTGACAGAAATGGGTATGTGTAAATACATAATCAAAATGATCTGCGCCAGTCCAATCTAAGTGCGAGCTACAAAGCACTACTGACCGTGGTGATCAAGGTGAATAACAATAATATAATGTGCCGAACTTAAATTAAATATGCATCAAAACATAAACAAACAACAATGTGCCAAAGTCCCATAGGAGTGAAAATTCAAAAGTGATAACAGAAATTTAGATCCATAAAAAACTAATGGAATGGTGAAAGTGATAGCAGTGGTAATGGCGATCTTCTATCCAAACTTATGCGTACCACACATCAAACAAATGCTCCAATCCACACGTGATAAAATGGTGTGCAGGTGGGTGCTCACCTGAGCTGATGACCAATATAGGCCATACAACACTGTTCCCTTCTTGGCGGGGAGGGACAGCCTTTAGGCATATAGACCGGACCAGTTCACAGAGATATCCATTCAGAAAAAGATCAGCAATAAAAACAGTGCGTATCGTTCAGATAAATAATAAAACTTTAATCTTTAAAAAACGTACTCACATGGATTGAGTCAAAGTAAAAGAGTGGAGAGAAGTACAATCAATGTTCCAGCTCAATACTGCACGAATGAGGATGCTCTACCGTCCTTCCGGCCGGATAACAAAAGTGGCGTCAGTGACTCTGCCCACCCTATGCGCGTTACGTCTCACTTCATCAGGGGTGTGTAGTCACTGACAAGTGAAGCTCCAAAACAGACATTAACCCTAGAAGAGCATTTTGCCGAGCACTGACATGACTTACGCAGGCCAGAACACATGAAGTCTCCAATATCCCATCATAGCTAAAAGTTCAACTGCTTTAACCAATTCCTTTTTAACACCTTAGACCACAGCTAACTATCCAAGTTCTGAACCTAAAACAAACCCTAGAACTCTAGAGCTGTATTTTTATCCTTAAAACATAATTTTTTTTGTTAATATCATAAACCTTTGTTCTTTTACGGTCACAAAATACAAATATTTTGTTTTGCAATGTCCCACAAAGCAATAAAATATGTTAATGAAGAGGTTTTGTGGGATTTCAGGTTGTTATAAGCCTAAATATGGTGCTTGCCCATTTACATGGAAAAGTGACAAATTGATTTTCTGAGTCACCTATGAGACAGTATGGCAGCCTAGGAAGGAAAATTACCCCCATGATGGCATACAATTTGCAAAAGTAGACAACCCAGGGTATTTCAAGTAGTTTTGTGTAGCCATGGTAGTGTTTTTAGAGTGGCTGGGATTAAATGTAAACATTGCTAAAGCGACCATGAGCTTACAGCAGAACGGTAAATGCCACGGACGTAAGGCATACTGACCTGGCGGTTTGGGAACAGTTTTGTTCCACCGTATACCTTACGTCGGTGGAAGGGAAAGGGTTCAAGAACTTAGCTGTCACTAAAAGTTTGACAAAGCAACAACACCGACTGACCTAGGTGCAAAACTGCATGTGAAATAGAGAAATCATTTCCCCTGAAAGAGCTTCTGCAAGGAAAGGTGGGGCTCCTACTACCAGCTGTCCTGTTTTTTTATTGAAAATAAAAAATTCTGCGAGAATAATATTTCAGGTTAATCATTAAATCAGTAGAGCTAAAGATAAAACATTCAATCTGCTTAAGACAGTATCAAGAACTGAAGCATGCTAGTCATGAGAGGGGGTTATACCCAGGGCTAGTCTATTGTTTTCTTGTTTGCCAATGTCCATTACACTCTGTAGGTAGCAGTATAACCCAGGTGGTCAAAAATCTTGTGCTCCCTAAGAAGGCACAAGGAACGGAACTGCTCAATATACACTGTGCATAATTAGTAGGCAAGTTGTATTTTTGAAGATTTATTTGATTATTGAACAACTACAGTGCCAAGTGCCAACTACAGTGGTCAATCCAAAATCGTAATAAACCTCAAATCTTAATATTTAAGAAAGTACAAGTGAGGTTTTGGCTTTCTTAGGAGAATTTCTATTTGTGCACAATTAATGGGCAACTATTAGTGTGCAGAATTATTATGCAACTAAATGGAAAATGAAAATGATCCCATCCCACTTGTTGATTTATCTGTTAAAGTGAGAATAATAAAACACTCAAATGTATTTATTTTGTATTTCTTTACAAATAAACATTTCTAAAATTTAAAAAAAAATAAATCAGTGACCAATATAGCCTTGTTTCTTTTTAATAGCATTCATAAGTCTTCCATCCATGGAGTCTGTCAGTTTCTTGATATGTTGACTATCAACTTTTTGTGCAGCAGCAACCAACGGCCTCCTAGACACTGTTCAGAGCACTATTTTCCTTCACCGTAAATCTCCCATTTAAAAAGGAGAACTATGAGGTGAGTGCTTTTCACTCACCTCATAGTTCTAGCCGACCTGTGACAATGAGACTGTCACAGGTCGGCTCAGTAGATCGGGAGGCGAGCGAACACATACCGGCGTTCGCTCACCTCTCGATCCTGTCATGGCTCTCGCTGACTGGCGGAACGGACGGGGGAGGGGGCGGGTACAGCTGGCTCTGCCTCTAGATAGGCAGAGCCAACTGTCAGTCACGCAGCTGGGCAGATCCCGGCACAATTGTCGGGATCCGCTTCAGCTGTCTCAGTATACCACAAGCAGCAGCTCGCGGTATACTGCGGTGTCTCGGTATACCGCGAGCTACAGCTCGCGGTATACTGAGCCTAGGGTGACGGGAGGACGCTAGTTTGTGTCCTCCCGTTACCCTAAGGAGAACTATAGGGAAAAGCTTTAACCCCATAGTTCTCCTTTAAGAAGGGCTCACAAGTTCTCAATAGGGTTTAGGTCAAGTGAGGAAGGGGGCCATGTCATTATTCTTTCATCTTTAAGGGCTTTACTGGCTAACCAGGCAGTAGAGTACTTCAATGCATGCGATGGTCATTGTCCTGCATAAATATCACGGTCTTCTTGAAAGATGCAGACTTTTTCCTGTACCTCTGCTTGAAGAAAGTGTCTTCTAAAAACCGGCAGTAGGTTCAGGAGTTGATTTTGAGTCCATCTTCAACCTGAAAAAAGTCCAACTAGCTCATCTTTAATAATACAGGCCCATACCAGTACCCCACCTCCACCTTGCTGGCACCTGACTCTTAAGTGGAGCTCTGTGCCAGTTACTGATCCAGCCACGGGCCCATCAAAAGTCACTCATGTCATCAGTCCATAAAAGCTTTGAAAAATCTGTCTCCAGATATTTCTTGTCCCAGTCTTGACGTTTCAACTTGTGTCTTGTTCAGTGGTGGCCGGGTTTCAGCCTTCCCTACCTTGGCCATATCTCTGAGCACCTTGTACATCTGGGCACTCCAGGTAGGTTGCAGTTCTGGAATACAACAGCACTGGAGGATAATGGGCTCCTGGTAGCTACACGTTTGATTCTTCTCAAATCTTTGGCAGTTAATTTGCAAACGTTTCTAGCGACCCTGTTGTCTATTTGCAAAACTTTTTAAAATTTTTGACTTTTCCGAGTCAGTTAAATCTCTTTTTTTGGCCCACTTTGCCTGAGGAAAAGAAGCTGCCTAATCATTATGCACACCTTGATATAGGGTGTTGATCTCGTAAGGCCACACCCTCCCTTATTACACATCACCTGATATGCTTAAATCTAGGAAGCATTTAAGTTTATACAGCTTGGAGTTGGACACTATACATAAAAATGGCGATTCGGTCAAAATACTCACTTGCCTAATATTAGCGCGCACAGTGTATATTCAATAACGTAATATTTGTAAAAAAAAAAAAAAAAAAGACAAGGCAACTGGACTTGCTGTATTTTTTATTGAAAACGTTTCCCTTTTCATCACACACTGTAAAAAAAAAAAAAAAAAAAAGTCAAGGCAACTGGACTTGCTGTATTTTTTATTGAAGACGTTTCACTTGTCATCCAACCAGCTTTCTCAATTCAAAATGACTTGTACAAATATTATCTGGGAATAAATATGGTGAATGGTGCTCCAATCCACATAATCTGTTAGTCGCAACCAGGTGTAGATAGCATTTGCATACTTGGAGATGAACAACATTGTGTATGCAGTCCAGTGAGAAGTGCTCAGAATTGTATGTTGGTGAAACAAAACAGCAGCTACACCAGCGTATGACACAGGATAGAAGAGCAAAATCCTCTGGTCAGGATTCAGCAGTGTGTGAAGTGAAGTAGTATGCATCCTACACCTCCCAGGGAGGAGGACTGGTTCAAAAGAGGTGTGAAAGAGGTAATTTATGTAAAAATGGAGACGCCAAGCTTGAATAGAGTGGGGGGAGGTGAGACATCTATTGTCTGCCACATACATTGCTGTTTTAACACCTCTCTCTGGGCAGGTGAAAAATACCTCCTAACTCCAATTATGCAAATGCTATCAACACCTGGTTGCGACCAACAGCACCATATTTATTCCCAGAGAATTTTTGTACAAGTCATTCTGAATTGAGAAAGCTGGTTGGATGACCAGTGAAACGTCCAAGAAAAATAGAGCAAGTCCAGTTGCCTTGACTTATTTTTTACAGATATACCATGACCTGGATGAATGAGAACCATCACAGACACAATAACTTAAGAAGGCATTTGCTTCAGTTTCTTATGCTAAATTTTTTCAAAATAGTTTAATTACAAACATTTTCAGACAGGAAGAGTTAAATCTGCTCACCTGTAGCCTGATCAACAAGAACACGAGAATTGATGATACGCCCAAAACCTGTAAACATATCTTCTACATCTTTCTGTGTCATCGTCCTTGGGAGGCCACTGATATATAAATTTGCATCCTTAATATTTTCAGAGCTTGGACGGGCAAAGGACACCTAACAGAAAATTAAAAATATGCAATTATTTATGTGCATGCACACATACACAACCAAGCCCCTATGTAAAGTGGAGATAAGGATCTGCAAAACCTTCTGAAGATGTGGTATAATCATTTAAAGAAAATCACCACCTTCCTCATAAACCTTCCTCATAAAAGTATGTTTACATTTTTCTTGTTAAAACTATAAATATATGTCACATTTATAAAATCAAAGGACTTTGACCTGTCAGTTTCTAGACACTAATGAGTCCATTTATAAACATTGTAGAGCCACTCAACCTGCAAATCTCAGTGAATCTTTATTCTGTGCGAATAGAGGGGAAAAAAAAAAAATCTTAGTGTAATTTTTTTTAGGTCGAATGTAATGTAAAACCACATTATGGCTACTAGAAGAGGGGCGGTTGAATTTACTGTAGTACCGCACTATGGCCAGTAGCAGACACTAAGGAGCATAGGTTAATACTTATTTCCTATGCTGATAAGTTCCACCAATGGCCATAATATGGTATTACTTTACATTCAACCTGAAATGTGCCTCTATTCAGAGTGACAAAGTAAAACACCCTGGGGGCTCGCTATACGCTCAACTCCCCTTTTCATTCCTCAAAATCCCTCTTTCCACTCCAGGGCATTCAAACATTGGTCTGACTTAAGCCTCATTTAACTGAACAAACTAGTCACTCCCAACAGACCTAAAACATCTCAAAACGTCTCAAAACGTCTCAAGCACACCTGATACAACAAATCAATGCCTTCATTAGTTTCACTAGGTGTGCTTAAGCTAGAACACATAAAATACCTAAACTGACTAGGGGTTTGTTGAGTGCCACTTTGGACTGCATGTTAGTACAATGTTCCTGTCATACTGTTCAGATGGAATAGACTGGGGAACCATATTTCTCACAGCTTTCCTGTCTCAGGAGATCGCGCACAATGATCTTTTGTATTGGAGGTGACAGGTTCCATGAAGAGATCCGGTCACCTCCAAATGCCATCAACAAGGGGCTTGTTAGCCCCTGTGTGATAGCAATAGAGTTAAGTGAAAGAAGAAAATTAAGAAAATAAAAAAAATTGATAAAAAGTAGGGCTGGTAATGATTAACATTTTCTTGTTCGATCAATTTTTTTTAAAATGGATTAATCGATTAATTTTGATTAATTATAACGCACATTTCAGATCCAACACTACATTAGCCTATACACATACAGCACACCAATGAAGTAATAAAATGAACTAGGATCACACTAATCCAGCACGTTAATAATCTCACGTGCCCCACTCAATATGGCCGCCGCTTGAGTGGGGCAACTCTGAATAATAACGTGCTGGATTAGTGTGATCCTAGTTCATTTTATTACTTAATTGCTGTGCTGTATGTGTATAGGCCAATGCCTTGGCTGTCGCTTGTGCAGAAAGTTTAAAAAAAAATGTAAATCGATCAAAAAATTTTTAATTGATCAAAAATATTAAACGATTAATCGAGAAATTAATCGTTAATTTGCACAGCCCTAATAAAAAGTAAAAAACAAAATACAAATAAGGCTAGGCTCACACCTAGGCGACACCTCAACGCGTGGCAATCTTGCATGATGCCGCGCGATCAGGAGTCGCCAAGGTGTAAAATCTACATAAAACCATAATTCAATGACTTGCAAATCTCATCAGCCCATTTTTTAAATTCACAATAGAAAACAGATCTAATATTGAAACTAAGAAAATGTACAATTAAAAAAAAAAAAAAAAAAGGTAATTTTGAAAAATCGACAGCAGCAACATGTCTCACAAAAGTTGGGACAGGGCTATGTTTACCATGATATAACATCCCCTCTTCTTTTAACACTCTGTAAAACATCTGGGAATTAAGGAGACCAGTTGCTTCTAACTGCTCAACAGTCCTGTGTCATCTTTGTCATATTTTTCATTGTAAGATGCACCAAAAATTTTCCATTGGTGAAAGGTCTGGGCTGCTGACAGGCCAGTTAAGCACCTGGACTCTGCTGTTGTCATAGATGCAGTATGCGGTTTAGCATTGTCCTGCTGAAATATGCAAGGCCTTCCCTGAAATAGATGTTGTCTGGATGGGAGCATATGCTGCTTTAAAACCTGGATATATATTCTTTCTGCATTGATGCTGCCTTTTCAGATGTGCAAGCTGCCCATTACATGCGCACTAATGCATCTCCATACCATCAGAGATGCAGGCTTTTGAATTGAACGCTGATAACAAGCCAGAAGGTCCCTCTCCTCTTTAGTCAGGAGGAAGCGGAGCACGTGGTTGCGAAAGTCACCTTTCGATTCATCTGACCGGAGAACAGTTTTCCACTATGCGAAAAAGACCATTTTAGCTTTTAGCATTTTAGCTTAGGCCCAGAGAAGACATCAGTGTTTCTGCATCGTGTTCAAATATGGCTTATTTGCATGATAGAGCTTTAACTTGCATTTTTGGATGGTTTGTTCACAAATGGTGATCTTGTTTTTAATGCAGTACCATCCGAGGGCCCAAAGATCACGGGCATCCAATATCCCGTTTCTGCCTTGTCCCTTGCGCACAGAGATTTCTCCAGATTCTGAATCATTTGACGATATTATGTACTGTACTGTAGATAATATATTTAAAGTATTTGCAATTTTACATTGAGGAACAACTACTTTATACAACGGGGGCAGGAGTGGTCCAGCCTCCAAATCACCCAAAGATACTCCCTAAAGAGCATTGAGGAGGACTTCCAAACTGCGCAAGGACAGACATATTCCCCACAAGCAATTTCAATATGGTTGCCGGAGACCCCTTTCAAGGGAGATCACGATGGCCAACCGATGTGAGTAACAATACTTCACCCAATGAAGACAGAATTCCGTTTGTACTTTAGTAGAACTACAAAGACGGATCTCTCCCGGATTTCTGTTCTCTCCATTTTTGCCCTTCTAATACACTGCTGTGGAAGAATCTACACTCCTAAGTAGTCCCTGTGTAGTACCAGAAAGGATGCCTTACACTGTTCTGGCTAGAGGGAGACAAACGTGCTCAGTTTTTTGTTGAACCTAGAAGTCAGGAAGTCAAGGTCCATCATTCCCTAAATACAACAGAGGTCCCTGAAAGACCTCCAGCAGGCCACTTCTAGGAGTCTAGGCATCGAGGACTGTGAAAATCTGCCTGCCAATTTACCACACTTGGAAGGTGCACAGCATACATGGCCGGAATGTGAAGTTTCATCCAAACTAATTCCAGTTGGGGGGGCGTGGCCGGGATGTGAGACTGAGCAGACGTGTCTCACTGCAGCTCCCGACATCCGTGCTACATCCTGACCCTTAGCTAGCTGACAAACCGGCAAATTTACGGTTGTTGGCATACGTTATGCCGTAATGTATATACACTGTTGCGTATGAATGGGGTGCTATGTTGGTGCCCGAATGTTACTGTAATGTAATTGTTTACTATGCAAAATGAATAAAAAGATTTTTCAAAAAAAAAAAAAAAAACTAATTCCAGTTGGCCTTTCTGAGAGAGAGAGAAGTCTGGTTTCTCCCTAATCACCAGATGACACCACATTTGAGAGCTCCAGCGGTGAAGGGATAACTATCGCCGAGTTGACTGGGAGATTATATTTCTCTGGCGACCAAAACTTTCACTGAAAGGGTGTTCTGGACTCCTCCATCCATCATTAGATTCTACAAGACAGATATGATGCATTTCCCAAAGATAGCCAGGCACACATGATGGTCAAGAGACTTCACCTTCTTGTACAATGCTGCCAGAATGTTGCGTTGCAATGGTCTGGAGTGAAATTGGGTATAAACAACTGCCTCAAAAGGAGGCAGCCATTAAGACCAGTACTCACATGAAAAGGCAAAGGCTTGGCCAGCTCTTGGACTGCAGAGCCAGAATTTGGGAGAAAATACTCAGGAGTTTGTTTTGCAGGAGAAAAATCCCTGGATAGAGCCATATCTAGTATGAGTCATCTGTTCCAGCACCGATTTTTGAAGGTTTAGATCACAACCAATTTACTGTAGTCTGAACAGTTTGATGGACATTGGCAGGCAAGGCATGTGCCATCTGTTCCCTCAGGAGAAGGTCGTCCATGCATCCCACACAATGGGGAAGCCCTGAGAACAAAGTAGAATAAGTATAGGAGATAGTGCCTTGGTGAAGACTCAATGAACAGAGCAAAGTGAAGGGCAACAAACTGGTAGTGTTGCATGCCCACTGCATAATGCAGGTAGCCCTTGATGCGGAGGGAGAAAATGGGGATATGCAAGTAGGCATTCTTGATACTTAGAGGCCAAAAGGTCCCCCAGATGGAGTGAAGCAATAACTGACCAAATATAGTCAGTCAATGTAAAATATTTTACCTTGAATGAAAACATTCACTGAGACCCTAAATAGGGTGAATGCTCACTTTTGCTTTGGGGAGAGTTAACAGGTTTGAGTAGAAACTAGGGCTGCACAGATACCGGTTTTTCTGTATCGAGTACCGATCTCTTTTTCGGTACTTAGCGATACTGAATACCGATGCTGAAAGTCCCATTAAGGAAGCCGGGTGGTGTGTAATGACTCGCCTCCCAGCTTCCTAAATAGGTGACAAGGAAGCAGAGCCGGCTTTCTGGCCAATCAGGAAGCCGGGCGGCAAGTCATTTACCGCCCCCATCTTCCTGATTAGCCAGGAAGCCACCTCTAAGCTCCCTCCTCACCAGGTGATGAGGAATCTTAAAGCCGGCTTTCTGGCCAATCAGGAAGCCAGGGAGAGGCTAAAGACCCACCGAACAGCTGCACAATTGGCTAGCTTCCCGACCAATTAGGAAGCCGGGTGGAGTCATTACACGCCATCTGGCTTCCCGATTGGCTGGGAAGCCGCCTCCAAGCTCCCTCGTCAACAAGTGACGAGGGAGCATGGAGCCAGCTTCCTGGCCAATCAGGAAGCCGAGCGACGCGTAATGACTTGCTGCCCGGCTTTCTGATACCGGAAGTTACGGTATCGGGAATAGTATCGGAGCATT